GGAGTCAATCTTCTCAAACCCTGCTGCTGCTTTATTAACTATGTTTACGTGATATCATAAATTCTTTGTTACCACTTTCACAGTCTTCACAGCATCTTCACCAGGAGTAGATTTCATCTCAAGAAACAGCTTTTTTTTTTTTTGCTAATTCAAAAGGAGCAAGGAGCAACTCCTCATGTGTTCAAGTTATAAGATGAGATTGCAGCAAATCAGTCCCATCTTCAAGCTCCACTTCTAATTCTAGTTCTCTCACTATTTCCATCACATCAGTTTCTTCCTCCACTGAAGTCTTAAACCCCTACAAGTCATCCATGAGTGATGGATGACTTTCCATCCATCCAGAAGTGAGTCATCCACTTCTTCAAATTCCTGTTAATGTTGATATTTTGACCTCTTCAAATTAATCACAAATGTTCCTAATGGTATCTAGAATCCTGAATTCTTTCCAGAAGATTTTCAATTTTACTTTACTTGGATCCATCAGAGGAATCACTATTCTGTGTCAGCTATAGCCTTACAAAAAGTATTTCTTAAGTATTAAGACTTGAAAGTCAAAATGACAGTTTACCCATGGGCTGCAGAATAGATGTTGTGTTAGCAGGCATGACTATAACATAATGTCATTGTACACCTCCATAAGAATTCTTGGCTGACCAGGTGCATTGTCAATGAGCAATCATAACGAAAGGGATCTCTTTTTCTGAACAGTAGGTCTCAACATAGGCTTAAAATATTCAGTAAACCACGTTGTAAACAGTTATACTCTCAACCAGGTGTTGTTTTTCCACTTATAGAGAACTTATAGGGCCCTTAAGGGCCCTAGGATTTTCAGAATGGTAAACGAGCATTGACTTCAACTTCAAGTCACCAGCTGTGTTAGCTGCTAACAAGAGTCATCCTGCCTTTGGAAGCTTTGAAGTCAGGCATTGACTTCTCCTCTCCAGCTATGAAACTCCTAGATGGCATCTTCCAATGTAAGGCTGTTTTGTCTCCATTGAAAATCTGTTGTTTAGTACAGACACTTTCTGAATTATCTTAGCTAGATCATCTGGATAAGTTGCTGCAGCTTCTACTTCAGTGCCTGCGGCTTCACCTTTCACTTTGATGTTATGAAAATGGCTTCTTTCCTTAAATTGCATGAACCAGCCTCTGCTAGCTTCAAACTTTTCTTCTGCAGCTTCCTCATCTCTCAGCCTTCATAGAATTTAAGAGAGTTAGGGCCTTGCTCTGGATGAGGCTTTGGCTTAGGGGAATGTTGTGGCTGGTTTGATCCTCTATCCGGACCACTCAAACTTTATGCATATCAGCAATAAGGCTGTTCTGCTTTCTTATGATTCATGTGGTCACTGGAGTAGCACTTTTAATTTCCTTCAAGAACTTTTCCTTTGCATTCACAACTTGCTAACTGTTTGGCACAAGAGCCCTAGTTTTTAGCCTATCTCAACTTTCAACATGCCTTCCTCACTAAGCTTAATCATTTGTAGCTTTGGATTTAAAGTGAGAGAGTGGGCCTCTTCCTTTCATGTGAACACTTGGAGGCCATTGTAGGTTTATTAACTGGCCTAATTTCAATATTGTTGTGTCTCAGCAAATAGGGAGGCTGGAGGAGAGGGAGAGAGATGGAGGAATAGCTGCCTGCTTCATATGGACATGGATTGTGACACCCCAAAACAATTACAATAATACATCAAAGATCACTGATCACAGATCACCATAACAATTCTAAAAATAATGAAAAAGCTTGAAATTTTGTGAGAATTGTGAAAATGTGGCACAGAGATACGAAGTGAGTAAATGCTTTTGGAAAAATGGGGTCAATAGACTTGCTCAATGCAGGGTTGCCACTAACCTTCAATTTTAAAAACTGCAGAATCTGTGAAGTGTGATAAAATGAGGTATCCCTGTATAGTATTTGTGTTGATTGCTCAGTTCATCAAAATGATTGTTCCAATAGTGTAGATATCTTTTTAGTTTTCCCTTTTTAGATTGAGTTTGTTTTGATCAGATTCTGTTCTCACTTTTCCTAATTAGAATTTTGAAGGACCAAGTCTTACTTATCTCTGCAATCTCATTGTGTAGCCCGGTGTCTAGCACAGAGTTGACACTTCATCATCCATTCATGATATGAACATATTTATATGCAGTAAACATTCAACAAATAGAAATTTTCTATCTCTTATGGGCTGGGCACCATGCTGGGGATAGAATAGTGCATATGGTTATATGCCATACTTACAATTTAATGAGAGACAATGACACATCAGTGTGATAAACCCTGCCCATGTGTGAGCACAGAGTGCTGAGGGAACACCTGTTTCCATAAAAAGACGAAGATTTCCAGAGAAAGTGCTATTAAAGCTGAGACCTCAGGGAAGAGATAAACAGGGGGAAAGGATTAGGGAACTGATAGGAAAGGAAGGCATTCCTAGCAGAAAGACATTCTGGACCTGCAGTTTGTTTGGTTTGGAGTTTTGTTAGAGCGTTTAGTTATGGGAGGAAGTGAGAGTCAGAGGAATATGGGGAGGGAAGGGATGAAGGAGAAATGTTCAATCAACACTGAAGGAATTATTTTAAGAAGCAGTATAGCACACAATGCAATTCATTAAGAATTTCTAAGATGAGGGCACTTGGGTGGCTCAGTTGGTTAAGCGACTGCTTTCAGCTCAGGTCATGATCCTGGAGTTCTGGGATTGAGTTCTGGCTCGAGTCCCGCATAGGGCTCCTTGCTCAGCAGGGAGTCTTCTCCCTCTGACCCTCCCCCCTCTCATGTGCTCTCTCCCTCTCTCATTTTCTCTCTCTCAAATAAATAAAATCTTAAAAAAAAAATTTCTAAGATGATTCATTTAGAGTATGAATTTTAGACCATTTATCTTATAAGCGTATTTTATGTAATTAAAAAATTAAAATGGATTTTAACCTGATAATATTGGCGACCTCATATTCATAAATACATACGCATATGTATTTTATGTCCACTTCATTGCGATTCTATGGTCTGTACCATACTTATCATTAGGGATATTTGCCTCATGATAAATGGACTTCATTAGTAGTGGTTTGAGGCATTATTATTTATTCATCTATAAAGGTTATAAAGCTCCTATTAATTCATTTTCCAGGAACTATTATTTTAAATTCCAAATACTTTGCGCTGTTAGCTTTTAAATGAATAAGGTGAAAATTAATTCTCCTTCTTAATTTGATCAGTTTATAAATTTGGAGGGCAATAGGCTCATATAAGAGGATTGCATGAAGATGCATACTGTAAACCCAGTTTTAAGTCTCAGTCTTAGAAGATATGTGTTGTGTTCCTTCATTGGTCCACTAGGTTCTCTCAGACTCAGGTAACCTAACTTCAAAGCTGACATAACATTTTCTGTGGATGTCGCTTATAAGGATAAATTAATTAAATATTATTTATAACTCTCCAAAGAATAATGTATTATTTATAAAAAATTGAGGTTAGTACTGTTATCTCAAATCCAGTACTTTTTTTTTTTTTTTTGGTGGATTCAGAGAAGGAATCCTAAGTAGGCATTTAGAATTAAAAAAAAAAGTCTATACATTATTTTATCTATTAGTGGATAAAGTTCATCTGTAATATTATTATAATCATAGAAACAAACTACATTGTGTCACAGTATACTCTTTTCACTTTTGTATTTTATAATCAATGATTCTTCATGTTTTTGAACACAAAAGGATGCCGGAGGTGGATAGCCACTAGAAAGGAGATTTCTCATTTGCACTGCTATCCTAGGTAACTTTTTTTTTTTTTTTTTTTTTTTTTAAGGGAGACAGAGAATCTTAAGCAGCCTCCACACCCAGAGCCAGCCATCTTGGGGCTGGGCCTGTATCTTACCACCCTGAGATCATGACTCTGAGATACATGACCCAGAGATCATGATCTGAGCCAAAATCAAAAGAGTCCGTGTTTAATGGACTGGGCCACGCAGGCGCCTCCATCCTAACTCTTTATCACAAATAATGATGATCTTGCAGACTGTACCTGTGCTACGTACAGGTGGAAATTAGTGAGCTTAAATTCATATAATTTTCACTTGTGGCTTGGCTCTTGGGGTTAGAAGTGGAGTTGAAAGGAAAATGGAGAGATTAATGAAGGCACTGATCAGGATTGGAAAGTAGGAACAGGGAGTAAGTTTCCTCCCTGGTTGCGTCTTTTCCTCCATAAACATTTATTAAGCATTTTCTATGAATCAAATAATGAAAAGACGAGAGAAGAAAACAGTTACGTTACGTACAATCCTTTGTTAATTTTGTGAACCGAAATCAGATTTTAAAGATTCTTCAGTTATGCGTATCGCATGCAGTTAAATATGCAATCATGACAACTGATTGCAATAGAGGTTCGGGCATTTCTCCCTTCACTTCAAAAACTATGGTAAAAGCGCCGCAAGAGATTCACAGCCATGTAGTCTGCAATCACTGTTCGCACGCCAACATTTGTAGTAATTTCAGATTAGGAGCCTCGCATTTTTGTTATAATCCAAACTTTCCTACCTTCCCCCCTGATGCCCACTGCTCCCTGCCCCACTTCCCACCTTAATGCAAGCGTACCTCCTCGCCCCGCCCGCCCCAAACAAACACCCCCTCTCCTCCCCAGCCAAATTAATTTTACTGGGCGAACAGGGATTAGAATAAGGAAGGAAGGTAGGGAAGGCGGAAGAGAAGGAAGAAGGGAGGGACGGAGGGACGGACGGCTGGAAAGAATGAAATGAATGAAGGAGAGACGCTGTCCTTCTCCCCGTGTTTTCGGTTCCCTGCTCGCTCTCCCCGCGGGCTGCCAAGCAGCATCTCCTCCCAGCTCGGCCCCCGCCCCGCCCCCTAGCGTCGGAGCCCCGCAGCCAGCGGCTGGCGCCTATCTCTTTAAGTGACAGCTGCGGCTCGGGTCCCAGTCCGGAGCTTGACGTCAGTGCCGCCGCCCCGGCTGCGAGGAGTAGTTAGCGCCACCGTCCGCGCTCGGAGCGGGCTGCGCGCTCGCAAGCTGCCGGGGCGGCGAGTTTTCTTGGCTCCGGCCCCTCCTCCCGCCCTGCCCGCGGGGAGCCGAGCGGCCGCCCAACAGCCTCTCGCAAGTCTCTCTCACACTTCCCCGCCGTCACCCCAAAGGAGCAGCCGCTCCTCCTCGCGCCCCTGCCGCCGCCGCGGCGCCCGCGGGGCTCTTCTCCCGCGCTTCGCTCCCCCGATGGAGCCCGGGCGCCGCCGCCGCCGCCGCTGCCCCGAGCCCTGAACGGGGACGCCCGGCCGAAGGAACGTGCCGCCCGGCCCGAGGGCGCACCAGGCACACGCCAAGGCCGAGGGCCGCCGAGGGTGGAAGGAGAAAGTGCTGCTCTCCCGGGTCACTTGGCCGGCGGCGGGGGGACCATGGCTTTGAAGGACACGGGCAGTGGCGGCAGCACCATCCTGCCCATTAGCGAGATGGTCTCCTCGTCCAGCTCGCCGGGCGCGTCTGCGGCCGCCGCCCCGGGGCCCTGTGTGCCCTCGCCCTTCCCCGAGGTGGTGGAGCTCAACGTGGGCGGCCAGGTCTATGTGACCAAGCACTCGACGTTGCTCAGCGTCCCGGACAGCACTCTGGCCAGCATGTTCTCGCCCTCCAGCCCCCGGGGCGGCGCCCGACGCCGAGGAGAGCTGCCCAGGGACAGCCGGGCGCGCTTCTTCATCGACCGGGACGGCTTCCTCTTCAGGTACGTGCTCGATTATCTGCGGGACAAGCAGCTCGCGCTGCCGGAGCACTTCCCCGAGAAGGAGCGGCTCCTGCGCGAGGCCGAGTACTTCCAGCTCACCGACCTGGTCAAGCTGCTGTCGCCCAAGGTCACCAAGCAGAACTCACTCAACGACGAGGGCTGCCAGAGCGACCTGGAAGACAACGTCTCCCAGGGCAGCAGCGACGCGCTGTTGCTGCGTGGGGCGGCCGCAGCCGCGCCCTCGGGCCCGGGAGCGCACGGCGGCGGCGGCGGCGGCGGCGGCGCGCCGGACAAGCGCTCGGGCTTCCTCACGCTCGGCTACCGCGGCTCGTACACCACGGTGCGAGACAACCAGGCGGACGCCAAGTTCCGGCGTGTGGCGCGCATCATGGTGTGCGGGCGTATCGCGCTGGCCAAGGAGGTCTTCGGGGACACGCTCAACGAGAGCCGCGACCCTGACCGGCCGCCCGAGAAGTACACGTCCCGCTTCTACCTCAAGTTCACCTACTTGGAGCAGGCTTTCGATCGCCTGTCCGAGGCTGGCTTCCACATGGTGGCGTGTAACTCCTCGGGCACCGCCGCCTACGTCAACCAGTACCGCGAAGACAAGATCTGGAGCAGCTACACCGAGTACATCTTCTTCCGTAAGTTCCCGGTCTCCGCGTCTCCTTCTCCCGCCCCTTCGCCGACCCGCGGCGGGTTTGAGCCCGGCTGGACCCCAGACGGGGCCGGTGTCCCGGGCGGGAGCTGGTTAACTAGTAAGTGCGACGGGCTTTCCCTGCACGGCCCCGTCACGCTGCAGACGCAATTTACGGTTTCGTCCCTTGTGATCTCCCTTTCGATTCCCGTCTTCTTCAACTCGCGAGCACGCGATTCCCAACCAGTCCTCTTTCTTAACTTCATTGATTTTGCCCTCTCACACCCTGCCCTGCTCTTGGAGGCGCCGGGCTCCCTTCTGCCGAGGGCGGGGTAAGACGGGAGCCCGAAGCTGCGCGCGTAGGTCCTCTTCCTTCTCTCTGCTTCCGCGGAATTCCTGGGGTTAACTTATGTGGGTCTCAGAGGTGTCCCTACAGAGGGCAGTTCGGCATCGAGGCATTACGGCGCACGCCAGGATCATCTCCAGTTGGTGCCTGTCTGGCGCAGGAGCTTAAATTACGGGTGTTTTCGGAAGGGGGCAAGGAGAGAAAGGGCCACCGTGCCCCCTGAGCTGCCTAGGGGGCCGGGGCGTGAGGGCAGCTGGTGGGAAAGAGGTGTCCACCGACTCACAGAAACCTCAGATTTCCCCCACGCCAGTTGTCAGTTAACTGCTGGGTGTTCTGAACAGCGGAGGGTGGAGGGAACTGGAGTTTGGATGTCTTCTGCTGTCAGGTTGGAGATTAGGAACGGACGTTGTGCGTGTGCGTGTGTGTGAGTGAGATTGTGTTTCCTTTCTGGGCACCTCAAGTGCAAAAGGGGGATTGAGTCCACTTTCCCAGGGGGGAATGAAATGCCGTGGTTCTCTGAAATGAGAGAATGAGGGTGAGGATCCGGAAAGCATTTGGCATGGTGCTTTTTGTAGTGCGCTTCCGGAGGGGGCTCTGTGGATCAAGTTCAAGGACTACAGCAAATATCACTGGGGCTGGGAGGATGGGCTCAGCACAGCAATCAGTGACGCTTACCAAACGAGGAGGGCCACAACCAGAGAGCTGTTTGGACAAATGAAAAGCCAGCTGGGATGGCAGCAGGAACATCATTTGGCAAACGTTTGTTCTTTGGCAAAACACAAGAAGCTTTAAAACTTGCCTGTAGAGTTAGGGAGAATATCATTGACAGCTTATGATAGAAATAGACCAGCTTTAATTGTATCTATTTCTTTTGGTAATTCACTCACTGGGAACTAGACAATTTATTGCACTTTATTTTGACTGGAGAAGTGGAAAGGACTTTTTTCTCTTTTTTTTGCACAGGTGCAAGCTTGATGGGGAGGTGCTCATTGTATGTTCTAGGAACCTTGGAGATATGGTGACACAACACAGCACACAAGGCCTTCGTGTTAGATTGTCTTTTTTAATAGTGCTGGATTTCCCGTGAAAACCATTTCACAGAGAAGCAAAGAAAGTGCATGTTGTAGTGGTAGACAAAAATCTAATTGTCTTCATTATATCAAGGTATTATCTGCTGCACAGTAAAGAAGTTTGATAGAAAAGTAGCCTAAAGGAAGGTGGTATTTTATTGCTTACATAAAATTGGGATCCCTTCAATAGGTATTAAGTAATTAAAACATTTTTTAGCATCGCTGTTTACATCTTATCCTTTATCAATGGGACCTTTATTAGCATTTTAGCTCTTAAACATTTATGTCATTCCAACATGGGTGTACTTCCAAGCATTTTAGAAGATGAGATGAACTTTTGACTCTCTTTTGGCTAGAGGTTTTTGTTAGAGAAGATAGGAGCATAAGTGCTCAGTGGTTAAGATTCTTGCATTTTGCGATCTTTCACAGTGTTGGCCTTTCTTTTTCCCCTAGGGAGTTGTGGACTTGAACATGTTTATTTTGTTTATAAAGAGAACATAGGTTGTCTCTAAATTTTGAAAACATGTCCTTAAAATACTTTATTGCAGTGGGAAACTCATGCAATTTAACTAATAAGGTAATTCGAGAGATATTTGGAATTTAGGATATTTAACTTCTGGAGCCAGAAGAAGTGTTAAATAAAATAAAATATCTGTATTACAAATAACTATGTGCAGAGTACTCACATAACTAATGAGCTCTGAGCTTCATTCATAAAAGTCCTAGAAATCTAAGCAACCCACAGCCTTCTTCATTGATTATTCTGTGGGGGAAAATACACAAGCCCAGGTTAAATAATGTTCTCCTGAACTGGTATTTTAGTCATTGACTAACCAAATGTAATATAAAACCTATTTGTGATGTAAAATTTATCTTGAATCCTATTGTATATGCATTTATTTTATGTTTTGTATAGATTGTAGCATATTTTCACAGATTATTTTGCACAGGATTTCTTTTAATATTGGTGAATGAAAATACACTGTAAAGTTTTTATATTTCCATTCCCTTCAGCTTAAGTAATGATATAAGTATACAGAGTATAATTATTTTGTCTAGCAGTCTCTATTTAAGAAAACTATTCAGTGTTATTCATAAAAACAAAATTAGTGAATGAACTTGTTTGCCCACTATATTTTAGAGGTAGAAGGAGGTCGTATTATTTTTTATTTCCCCTTTGACACAGTTTTTTCAACAAATATTTATTTTAGTGTATAACATGTATCAGTCATTTTAACCCCTTTTAAAATTCTGGCTATGTGTGAAATCAGCAGCATAAAGATGCTCTGAAAACTATAGAATTGTAGTTTATACACTGGAACATCAGTTTCAGCTCCTTACTCCCTCTCCCCCTTTGCCCCTGAATTTCTATGTAGATGGGAAGAGAGTGGCAAATGGTTTGGTAATCCCAGACACTGCCATTGCCAAATGTGTGATCTTACTTAAATTACTTACTTTTTCTGAGTCTCCATTCCTCTACCTGTATTACAATGGGGGTTATTATAGTTCCAATTTTTTTTTTAAAGATTTTATTTATTTATTTGGCAGAGAGAGACACAGGGAGAGAGGGAACGCAAGCAGGGGCAGAGGGAGAGGGAGAAGCAGGCTTCCCGCTGAGCAAGGAGCCCGATGCCAGACTCTATCTCAGGATCCTGGGACCATGACTAGAGTGGAAGGCAGACGTCTAACTGACTGAGCCACCCAGGCGTCCCTATAGTACCAGTTTTATAGGATTTGAGAATACATGTAAAGTCCTTAGACCAGTGCTTGACATATAATAAAAGCTTAACAAATGTTAGTGGTTACAATTATAAGTCATATTATACCAAGTTTATTATTCTTGTCAATATTAAATTTTAACTTTGTTACATACTAAGTAGAGTTGATTTAATTATAAAGTTTATTAGAAAATTATTTTGCAATTCAGTGATAACAATAAACTTTCAAAAGTTTGACATGACCAATTTAATAACAAGTTCTTTCTTGGAACTTGGATTTTTCAGGCCAAGTTCAAGTCACCTAGGTTTGCTGGTCATACTACAGTTAGTTTTTTGGGTCAACTCCAACAGAACTCTTTTCTCATTCAGGGCCAAGAAGTGTTTTAATGCTCTCTACTAGGACTTGAAAGTTTGGTAATATTTTCTGACAAACACTGAGCTAGATTCATTATCTCCTTAAGTGCTGGTATCCAGGTCATTGGGTTCCAAGGCTCAAGGTTATATACAGGCTATTAAACATTTAATACCAACTTCATTTGGCTGGATGGACACTTTTATCTATTCTCAGTGTTAACTCATTATTTTACCAAGTCTTTTAGACTCTGCAACCTATACTAATGATATTACCATTCCATATCACTCTTTTAATACTGAAGATTGTCTTTTCTTGAAGGAAAGCAGAGTGATTTCTGTGCTTTTTGTTTTTTGGGTGGAGGGTGTCTGTTAAGTGTGCTTGTGGCTGTTTTTAGCTGTATCTAGAAGACAAGGCATTTTATGTTGGCATTGTACTACATCGACAATAAATAGTTATAGGCTTGGCATGTGATATGTAGACTACCCATAGTTAAAATAAACATTATATATATCCTTTATTTCTCACAATCAGGTGTTTACAGAATGGTAGTACTGCTCTTATTTCAAGTGCTTCCAGTTTTGTACTCCGTAGGTTGGTTGAGTAATATTTGGTGTGAAAGTATACATTTCTCCAGGATGCACTTGATATACTCTAAGTTTGGTGTACATTTTTTTTTGTTGTGATGTATGAGAGTACCAGATCTAGGAATTAATGCTATTATTGAACTGGGCTGTGAATTCTGATTTGTCAAAATGGATTCTTATATCTACTCTTTCAAATCTGTTTTGATTTACTTGACTGTGTTGGGTTGAAGATAGCTAGTTCAGTTGAAAATATTCAAATAGCTATTTAGTCCTATGTTAGCAGCCCTGTTGTATTCAAAGCTTTCTAACAAACATCTTCAAAAAGTTATCTATTTAGATGCATACCTTTATTTTATTTATTTATTTTATTATGTTATGTTAATCACCATACATCATTAGTTTTTGATGTAGTGTTCCATGATTCACTGTTTGTGCATAACACCCAGTGCTCCATGCAGAATGTGCCCTCTTTAATACCCATCACCAGGCTAACCCATCCTCCCATCCCCCTCCCCTCTAGAACCCTCAGTTTGTTTTTCAGAGTCCATCGTCTCTCATGGTTCGTCTCCCCCTCCGATTTCCCCCCCTTCATTCTTTCCCTCCTGCTATCTTCTTCTTCTTCTTCTTTTTTTTTTTTTAACTTATATTGCATTATTTGGTTCAGAGGTAAAGAATTTTATAAAAGAAAAGTAAAATTAAAAAAATCACCAACAGTAACTGCTAATAAAATCTTGATTTATTTTCTTCCAGTCTTTTTTCTATGCATTGTTGTTGTACTATACAAATGGTTTGTATGCTGTCTTTGTTTTGTTTTGTACATTTATTATACTTATTGACATTTCCCGCATGACATTAACATTTTTACTGACATCTTAGATAATAAAAGTATAATACATGCCCTTTACCAGAGACAATATTATAAATAAATGTTGAT